CAAAAGCAACAACAACAACAACAAAATATAGTAGAAGTATTTTAGAGGTATATCATGCAGTTAATATACAAAAAAAGTTTTTTTCTGCATATTTAATGTGATATTTGTAAGATACATATATTTTAAAGTTATGGTTTATTTTTCTCCATTAAAAAAATCCAATGCTCTATTGGGGGGGGGGGAAAGGGGGTTGTTATGTTTTTGTTTTTTGCCAGTCCTGGGCCTTGAACTCAGGGCCTGAGCACTGTCCCTGAGCTTCTTTTACTCAAGGCTAGCACTCTACCACTTGAGCCACAGCACCACTTCCGGCTATTTCTGTTTGTGTGGTACTGAGGAATCGAACCCAGGGCTTCATGCATGCTAGGCAAGCATTCTACTACTAAGCCACATTCCCAGCCCCTGTACTTGTGTTTTAAAAATTGTTTTTCTTAAAGAGGATCCTTCAAGTTGAATAAACTTCAAGTCTCCACAAACAAACAAAACACACACACACACACAAAAAAAAAAAACTCACCTTTTTTGGAGATAGTCTTGTTATGGAGCCCTGGCTAGCCTCCAGCTTTTTTTTTTTTTTTTTTTTTGTGGGACCTGGGTGCTGTCCCTCAGCTCTTCAGCTCAAGGAGAGCGCTCTACCACTTGAGCCACAGCACCATCTCCAGTTTTCTAGTGGTTTATTGGAGATAAGAGTCTTACAGACTTTCCTGCCCAGGCTGGCTTTGAACCCCAATCCTCAGATCTCAGCCTCCTGAGTAACTAGGATTACAGGCGTGAGCCATCAGCACACAGGTAGCCTCCCACTTTTGATCTTCCTCCTGCCTGTCTCTGCAGTGTTGAGACTACAGGTATGGTATACACTTACCCCCAGTTTTATTCTTGGTAACACACATTTGAACCCTTGGCAATCAGTCCTGTCCAGAGTAAAGAGCTGAAGTCTTTTGTCATAGCCTGCCTCTTATCTTGTGACTCTCCTCTAGAGATACAGAAAGGATTCAATTCTTAATTTCTCCATCTCAGGACTAGTGTCTGTGGTGAAAATTGGGTGGCAAACTAGATTAACCTTTTGTTGTACCCTTGGCACCACCTCATGAATCTTTCACTATCATCGGTAAATATTAAACAGGAATATTAAAGAGGAGCAATCTCCCAGCAAATAAGAGAAAGCATGCTCTTGTGATGCAGGTATACTCCAGGGCAGCCAATGACATGGGGTGGTGATGGCTGGGATTACTCTTAGCTACGAGCTATTCTTCTAAGTCACTTTTACTATTTTTCCCTTGAAAGAAGCAGAACAGAATATTGGCAAGAACAATCTTGAGGAACCACAGAGCTGGACAGATCAGCACAGATCTAAAAAAGAAAGAGCCCATGTTAGGAACAGGCCAAAATCAGAGAAAAAAACAAAAGGCAGGCCAGGTGTCAGTGGCTCATGCCTGTCATCCTAGCTACCCAGGAGGCTGAGATCCAAGTTTCAAAGTTTGAAGTCATCCAGAACAGGAAATTCCAAGAGACTTATTTCCAACTAACCACTAAAAAGCCAGAAGTAGAGGTAGGGCTCAAGTGGTAGAGCACTAGCCTTGAGAGAAAAAGCTAAGGGACAGAACTTAGATCCTAAGTTCAAGTCCAGTACCAGCACGCGTGCACGTGCATGCATGCACGCGCGCACACACACACACACACACACACACACACACACAATCAGATAACCAAATAGATGAAGATCCCTAAAGTAAAAGAACCCAAGGGATGGATGCAAAACTACACAAGTTTGCCTGGTTTTCCCACACATGCAGCAGCCTGGTGACAAACTTTCCTGGTTTTTGTGTTCATTAATTTAATAAGAGTTAAAAAGAAGCAATCTCATGTGTAGTACAAGTAATACAGTTTCAGGACATCTCTCAAAAAAAATAGTGCGGGTTGGGAAGGTGGCTCAGTGGTAGAGCCCTTGCCTTGCATGCATGAGGCCCTGGGTTCAATTCCTCAGCACCACATAAGCAAAAAGAAAAAAGCCGGAAGTGGTGCTGTGGCTCAAGTGGTAGAGCGCTAGCCTTGAGCTGAAGAGCTGAGGGACAGCACCCAGGCCCTGAGTTCAGGCCCACAACTGAACCAAAAAAAAAAAAAAAAAAATAGTGCATTTCACCCTTCTGGCAGTCAATTTACGAATCTGAACTCTTCCTCTCAGAGGCTTCTTCTATGGAATACTCCAGTTGGCTGGTGTGGGCACCTTAGAATACCCCCAAAGGTGGAGTTTCTGTCCTCAGAGATCATTTCCAGAAGGAAACTCACTAAGTGACTGTGAATAAGACTAAGGAGGACTGGGAAGGTGACTCAGTGGTAGAGCACTTGCCTTGCATGCCTGAGGCCCTGGGTTCAATTCCTCAGCACCACATAAGCCAAAAGAAAAAAGCCGGAAGTGGCGCTGTGGCTCAAGTGGTAGAGTGCTAGCCTTGAGCTGAAGAGCTGAGGGACAGCGCCCAGGCCCAGAGTTCAGGCCCCACGACCGGACCCAAAAAAAAAAAATGTTTAGGGGAGGTGTGTGTGTGTGGGGGGGAGGCTGGGAAGGGATGGGAAGGGGAAACAAAGGAGGAGGCTACAATGCTTGATAAGAAATGTATTCATTATCTTGCCCATGTAATTGTAACCCCTGTGTACAGTATTTTCACAATAAAAAATAAATTAAAAAAAAAAAGACTAAGGATCAAAGATTACCGGACTGAATTCATCAAGAGCCAGTTTTCTGTTCATTGGGTTTTCTTTTCTTTTTCTTTTTTTGTGTGTTGGTCCTGGGGCTTGAACTCAGGGCCTGGGTGCTACCTGGGGGCTAAGCTTTATTTGCTCTACCACTTAAGCCGCAGCTCCACTTTAGGCTTTTTTTTTTCTTTTTAGTCAGTCGTGGGGCCTGAACTCTGGGCCTGGGCGCTGTCCCTCAGTTCTTCAGCTCAAGACAGGCACTCTACCACTTGAGCCACAGTGCCATTTCCAGTTTTCAGGTGGTTAATTGGAGATAAGTCTCATGGACTTTCCTGCCCAGGCTGACTTTCAACTGTGATCCTCAGATTACAGGCGTGAGCCACTGGCACCCAGCCACTTCTGGCTTTTTTGGTGTTTAATTGAAGAAAGTCAGTCTTTCCTTCCTAGACTGGTTCCAAACCTTGCTCCTCAGATCTCAGCAGCTTGAGTAGCTAGGATTACAGGCTTGAGCCACCATTGCCCAGCTTACAACCAGTTTTCTTTTCCTTTTTTTTTTTTGACAGTCCTGGGACTTGAACTCAGGTCCTGGGCACTGTCCGTTTCTTTTGCTCAGGACTAGTACTCTATCACTTGATCACCACTTCCAACCTTTTCTGTTTATATGATACTGAGGAATCGAACCCAGGGCTTCATGCTTGCTAGGCAAGCACTCTACCACTAAGGCACATTCCCAGCCCTTTAGAGCCAGTTTTCTTTTGTTTTTGTTTTTTTTTTGGGGGGGGGTCCGGTCATGGGGCCTGAACTCTGGGCCTGGGCGCTCTCCCTCAGCTCTTCAGCTCAAGGCTAGCGCTCTACCACTTGAGCCACAGCCCCACTTCCAGTTTTTTTCTTTTTGCTTATGTGGTGCTGAGGAATCAAACCCAGGGCCTCAGGCATGCAAGGCAAGCACTCTACCACTGAGCCACCTTCCCAGCCCTAGAGCCAGTTTTCTTAAAATAAATACCTGCATAGGGAGGGAGGGGATGGTAGGGGGAAAACAATGGAGGGGGTAACAATATTCAAGAGGAAGTGTACTCATTACCTCACTCATGTAACTGTAACCCTCTGTATAGTATCTTTACAATAAAAATTAAAAAAAACCTGCAGCATTTCAAAAGATTTAGCATACTCACCCTCTTACTTATTATTGTTGTTACCTGTATAACTTCTTGTTGTTAGTCAACTGAGTATACCCTCATGACTGCTCACTTGATATAGTAGCATCTTCACAATACAAATTAATGTATTATATATCAAATTAAAGTATCAAGGTCATTTTTTTACATTTTTTTTCAAGTCATCGAATTTGTGAAGGATATTTGAATTAAATAACAAGGGCTAAGAATATGGCTTAGTGGTAGAGTGCTTAGTGGTAGAGTGCTTCCAGAAAAAGCTCAGGGACAGTGCCTAGGCCTTGAGTTTAAGGCCCAGGACTGGCAAAAAAAAAAAAAAAGCTGGAAGTGGTGCTGTGGCTCAAGTGGTAGAGAGCTAGCCTTGAGCACAGAGAGGCTCAGGGACAGTGCTCAGGCCCTGAGTTCAAGCCCCATTACCAGCAAAAAAACAAAAGTAGTGTACAGATGTGGTAACTCATGACTTTAATCATAGCTTTTCTGGGGGTTAAGATCAAAAGAGCATGGGGCTGGGAATGTGGCTCAGTGGTAGAGTGCTTGCTTGCATGCATGAAGCCCTGGGTTCGATTCCTCAGCACCACATAAGCAAAAAGAAAAAAAACAGAAGTGGTACTGTGGCTCAAGTGGTAGAGCACTAGCCTTGAGCTGAAGAGCTGAGGGAGAGTACCCAAGCCCAGAGTTCAGGCCCCACGACCGGACCCCCCCACCAAAAAAAAAACATCAAGAGAGCATAGTTATCGGTCAACCTCAGCAAAGTAAGAGATCCTATTTTAACAGAAAACAGTTGGGCATGATGTATGCGTCTATCACCCCAGCTATGACAGGAAAGAAGGCTGCAGTCCAAGCTAGCCTAGAATAAAACAAGACTCTCTCTCAAAAAAAAAAAGAAAAAGACTAGAAGTGGCTCAAATGAAGGTAGCTCAGTGGTAGAGTGCTTGCCTCGCATGCATGAGGCCCTACGTTCAATTTCTCAGCACCACATAAACAGAAAAGGCTGGAAGTAGTGCTGTGGCTCAAGTGGTAGAGCACTAGCCTTGAGCTGAAGAACTCAGGGACAGCACCCAGGCCTAGAGTTAAAGCCCCATGACTGACAAAAGAAAAAAAAAATGCCCACAAAAAAAACACAAAACATTACATATAAAATGTTTGTATCAACTGTATTTATTGCTATAAAGCTTGAACTTTTTTTTAAAAAAGTGTTTTTAAAGTAGATGACATAGGAAAAGACACCCATAAAGGTAGGAAACAATCTCATCATTTACAAAGTGCTGCAAATTTGATAAATTTATGATGCCAGAAACTCACTCAGAGATACTCTTGGATGAGTAGATATAAATCTTTAAAATAGAGAAAAGAATGCCCAAATGGATATAAAAATACCCCCCCCAAAGAGAATTAAGCTTTTGACAAATTGGTCATTCAGAGAACTAAAACTTTTAAGCATGTTTTCAGTGCATTGTTTTATTTTTTGTTGTTTTTAAAAGACATCTAGCTTTAGGTGAGTTCAAGTTTCAGCCCAATCCAAGTATTCTGGGGTTGCAGTGGAGGTTAACTCCGGATCCCTGTGAGAGCAGGTAGATCTTGAGTGTAAAGCTACTGCTAGGGAACTAAGCATAAGACTGACCTGAGAAGAAGAGAGTGAGTGTGCACACGCATATCAATGTACCACAAATACTATACTGGCTATAGGGCTCAGTGCACCTACAGCTGGGAATAAGGCTAGCTTGCAGCTTCCTAGACATCCCATCCAGCAAGCTCTATACCCAGAGACCCACTCATGACCTCCACAACTGAGCAGAGGAGGAAACAGCCTCCCCAGGCCCACGATTCCCTGAGAAACAGGCAACACAGGCAGCAGGCCCACCCAGAGCTGGGCAACATTCCCAGCAGAGGGATGCAAAGCGTTCTTAAAAGGCCATTTAGAAAGTCCAGGGTTTCCAGATACAGACAGGACATTGGTAAATACCTAGCTGAGTCCATGTCTGATGCCATGTGTGGGGTACAACATGATGTGGGCGCTTCCATAATGTCCTCTTCTCTTGTGATCCACAGCCAGAACATTGTTCAACTTATGCATATACATTGGAGATAAAGACCAGAATCAGATATGTAGAAAGTACTGGAACCTGCTTGTATGTACCTGGAGATATGTTACAGCCCAGGCTACACACATGGAAAGCCTGTCATCCCCCCCACCCTGGAGATCAGAGGGTTTCTCTAGTCCATTTGGAATGTTAGGATCTTTGGGTCTCTGGCCCTTAGGACCTCCCCAGAGGACTCTTCTGCCAGGATTGCAGAGTGCATTCCTTGCCTCGGCAGGCCTCTGAGAGGCCCACTGGCCAGGGGAGTTTGTCCATGGCGGTGATGATGGCAGCAGTGAGTGCAGCTCAGATATAGTTGGCAGTGGGCTGCCGGGCACTGAGTCGTTGCATGTGACAGCCATGGCAGAGCAAGTGCCCATCCAAAGGGAAACAGCAGCAACCTTCTTCATCACTAAGCTGCATCCGGCAATCCTAGGAAAGAAGGTACCAAGTTCACCTCAGCCTAGTAACTTGCACACTTAAAAACTGGTTGCAACTGGCTGGGAATGTGGCTTAGTGGTAGAATGTTTGCCTAGCATGCATGAAACCCTGGATTCAATTTCTCAGTACTACATAAACAGAAAAGGCCGGAAGTGGCACTATGGCTCAAGTGGTAGAGTGCTAGCCTTGAGCAAAAGAAGCTCAGGGACAGTGTCAAGGCCCTGAGTTCAAGCCCCAGGATTGGCCAAAAAAAAAAAGGGTCGCAAGATGGGAGTAGAAATGACACAAGAAACCCAAGAAAATACCTCATCTGGACACCAGGTGTCGCTGATACTACAGAAATAATGAGACAAGGCCCTACTTCCAGTAGTGACAAAGAATCCCTAGCCTTTTTTTTCCTCCCTTTTTTTTTTGTGCCAGTATAGGAGCTTGAACTCAGTGCCTGAGGGTTGTTCCTTATGGCTCAGGGCTAGCTAGCATTCTACCACTAGAGCCAGATTAAGAGTCTCACAGACTTTTCTGCCCAAACTGGCTTGGAACCAGTATCCTCAGATTAGAGTCTTTTGAGTAGCTAGGATTTTACATGCGAGCCATCAGCAACTGGCTTAGGAGTTTACCTCTGGAGCAATCAGATTCAGATTCAGCAATGAGTAAACAATTAAGATTAGAGAGAGTAACTGGAAGAAAAGAGACCAGAAGAGATAAAACATAGCACCTTCCTGTTTCCTGGGTCCTCCATCTTTCCCATAGATGTATAGCTGCTCAAGGACTTGACCCTAGTCCCTGACCATTCCAATTCTCCCAACAGCCCAGGACCCATCACTTACCTCACAGTGATAGCACTCAAAGTGATAATCACGGTCCATGGATATCACCCTCACGATGTCCTCACAGCCCTGAAATATGCACACCCATGGCAATAAGAGCAGCTTGGTGCCCCCAACTCCCTCTCCTCCCCATGGATTCCTTCTTCCCCAACAGGAAGCTCATACAAAGGCCCCCAGGGCTTCTTTGATCAGATACAATCATTGGTAGTTTGGAGATGCTTTCATAAATCCTACCAGAAATCCCCCTTGCCCCTTCCTGGCACTGGTTTCATGGGGAGCACTATAGAGGGCCCTTCCTTCCCTCTCCCTCCTTAACCCCCACTCCCAGGTGTGAGTGGAGGGGAAGGAAGGGAAAGCAACAGGAGTATAAACAAAGTCCATGAGGTTGGTGAGGAGGCACCACAGATCAAATTCTGAACCAGCCCTTGGCTTCTTTCTCTAACATCTTTCACATGCGGAGTTTAAATAATTTCTGACCATGTCCTGAGAATTTTTTATCCTTCACCTTTTTCCAGCCCCTACATCTAGGATCAAAGAAAGCCTCCTCCTGTGATTCAGGACAGAAGATATGGAGCCTGCACCCAGCAAGGCTATCAGACATGTCCAGGCCCGGATGTTAGGGTCAGAGTAGTGACCCTAAGAGCAGAGTCACACGGGAATCCTCACTGAGTGCATTCCTCAGCTGCACCACTTCCCAAGGGAGACCAGGCCACATGTCCCCACCCCCTCCCCAGAGACAGAAGCAGCACTGGCTGCCCTGCGGAACAACCCAGACATACTGACCTCAGAGGGGAGGATGGGTTGGCCACAGGCTGCACATTTAGGGGCATAATTTCTAAAAGAGAAAGTAGTAGTGATGAACTGGAGGTAGAGAACCCTTGGACCCAGCTCCATATTACACCCCTAGGATTTGACTCACTTGTGGTAGTCGGTGACACAGTAGACCTGGTTGGAGAAATCCACTGTGAAGGGAACACCATCCAAGCACTTGTTGCAAACGATGCATCGGAAGCAGCCTGGGTGGTAGGACTTGCCCATAGCCTGCAGGATCTGACTTACAGAGTGGAAGGAGGATCAGTCTCCCTTCAGCTTCCCATTTTATATTCCCCAAGCTCCCATTCATCTCTTCCAACCCCATCTTGTCCTCCTGCAAGAATGTTTTGTAATTTGAGGGGATGAAGGAGTCTGCCAGTACTGAGGCCTGAAGTTAGGGCCTCCAGCTCTTGCTTGGCTTTTTCCACTCAAGGCTGGCTCCCCACCACCTTGAGCCATTCCTCCACTTCTGGATTTTTGCTAGTTAATTGGAAATAAGAGTCTCATAGACTTTTCTGCCCCAGGTGGTTTAAAATTAAATCCTCAGATCTCAGACTCCTGAGAAGCTAGGATTATAAAGGTGAGCTGCAGCATCTGGCTTCCCCCATCCCTCAAGAAGTCTAACCCTGAAAAAGGTCTTAGATTTCAACCCTGGACACAATATTAGGATCAACTAGGGAGCTTTTTAAAAACAATGCCAGCCAGGCTGGTAACACACACATATAATTACAGCACTCAGGAGGCTAAGCAGAAGGACCAAGACTTTCAGACCATCCTGGGCTAACACAGTAAGATAGTTTCAGGGGGAAAAAAAAAATCAGTGCTTATAGAAGTAGAACTCTGACTAAGAGGCAGAGAGAGAGCACCTAGCCTCTGAGTTCAAGCCCCAGTACCAGCACACACACAAGAGTAGATTTAAAAAAAAAAAAAAAATCAATGACCAGTTCCTAGTCTAGAATTAGCTCATCTAGTTATGGGCTCCAACACTGTATTTTTTTCCAGGCCTTCTCAGGTGATCTGCTTGCTAAGATGCCAGGGTTTATAACCACTGATCTAATCCAATTCCAAGAAAGGGAGGGAAGGAAGGAAGGAAGGAAGGAAGGAAGGAAGGAAGGAAATAGTTCCAACTGATTTCAACCAGTAGCAGAAAAGTCCTAGCTTAGATTGGAGGGCCTAGTTGTGCATGCAGAAGGAAAACATTGGGAATAATTGCTGTAGGGGAAAAAATGTCAAGAACGTGATTTATCCGGGGATAGGCTTCCTTCCAGCCTTCTCTCAGCATCCATCTAGCCCCAGATACCAGCTCTCAGGCCTGCAGCTTCCCTAGAGCACTTTCCTCACCTTCTCCAAAATCAAGTGACCACAGACACAGCATTTCTCAGCTGCCTCCTGAAACCCTGAAAACTAAAGAAAACAACAGGATGTCAGTCAAGCTGAGAACAATGGGTAGAACTCCCAAATGGGTGTGAGGGGGCAAGTCCAGATGCAAGAGACCATCACTCACCAGATAATCTTCCTCACAGTACACAGAGCCGTTGACACTGTAGAAAGCCTTGCAGCGCAACGTCCTCCCTAGAAGCAGCAGAAAAGGGACTGAAGCCTATCCTAGAGCCCAGAGTAGGGCTTCTCTTTCTCTGGTGTCCCTGCTCCTCAATGATGCACAATTCATGGAAGCCTAGATTTCAGTTCTTTTCCTTCTAACTGCTCTGTCCTTCCTCCCATACAAACGATCCATCTGACACCAGGCACCAGTGGCTCACAACTGGAATCCTGCAGCCAGCCCAGACTGGAAAGTCCATGGGACTCTATTTCCATTTAACCACCAGAAAGCTGGAAGTGAAGGTGTGGCTCAGGTAGTAGAATGCCTCCCCTTAAGTATAAAAGCTAAGGGACAGTGCCCAGACCCTGAATTCAAGTTCTAGTATTGGCGAGCGCATGCATGCGCGTGCGTATACACACACACACACAAATCCCATCTGATGCAATTTCAACTTGCTTTGGCCTTACTCCAGGTAACCTCTCCCCTCTTTTCTTACTGCTCCTTCCTGTGTACTCAACAGCTGTCTGCAACCCTCCCCAAAATGAGCACCTTCCTCACCACTGTAGACCAGTGTGCTGTTTAGCGCTGAGTGAGGTGCTAGACAAATTGCATAGAGAATCATATTGCCACAGACTTTGCCTTTTGGAACCTTCCAACCCATGTCCCATTGCCTCACCATGGATGTCCTGCTCTTACAATCCCATCTACTCCTTTCTTTCATTTTTTTGCTAGTCCTGTGGCTTGAACTCAGGATCTGGGCATTGTCCTTGAGCTTCTTTTGCTCAAGGTGAGAGCACTCTACCACTTGAGCCACAATGCCACTTCTGGTTCCTCCCCCTCCCGCTGTCCCTCCCCCCCTTCTTCTTCTTTGTTGGTTGTGGGGCTTGAACTCTGAGCCTAACCAGTGCTCTACCACTTCAGCCATAGTGCCACTTCTGGTTTTCTGGAGGTTTATTGGAGATAAGAATCTCACAGACTTTCCTGCCCAGGCTGGCTTTGAACGGCAATCCTCAGATCTCAGTCTCCTGAGTAGCTGGGATTACAGGGATGAGCCGCTGGCACCCAGCATTTCTGTTTTTTTCCACGTATGTGGTACTGAGGAATTGAACCTGGGGTTAATGCATGCTAGGCAAACACTCTACCATTGAACCATATTCCAATCCTCCATGTACTTCTTTCTAGACACTCTATGGAGGTCAGATCACACTGGAGTTAATGCTGGGAAAAAGCATTTATTTATGTACTTATTTGTTTATTTATGGATTTTTAAAATTTATTGTGCCAGTACTGCTGCTTGAACTCAGCACCTGAGTGCTGTATCTTATCCTTTTTCACTCAAGGCTGGCGCTGTACCACTCAAGCCATACCTGCTCCACTTCTGATTGGAGTTAAGTGTTTCATGGACTTTCTCCTCATTTGAATAGTGATCTCCAGATCTCTGTCTTTTGAGTAGCTAGGATTACAGGTGTAAACTACTGGTGCCTGGCTTTTTGATTTTTTTTTTGAGATAGACCTGTATCAGAAAGCTATGTTTGTATTTGTGTGTGCTGGTACTGGGGGCTTGAACTGAGGGTCTGGGCCTTGTCCCTGGGCTTCTTTTTTCTTTTCTTTCTCAAGGCTAGCACTCTACCACTTGAGCTCCTGCTCCACTTCTGGCTTTTTTGGTGCTTTATTGGAGATAAAGAGTCTCATGGATTTCACTGCCTGGGCTGACTTTGAACCTTGAACCTCAGATTTCAGTCTCCTGAGTAGCTAGGATTACAGGTGTGAGCCACCTTTGCCTAGCTTAAGTGTGCTTTGTTTGAGAGCAATGCATTGTTGTATGTACTGGGATGCTCTCCAAGTGTGGACCTAAAGTTTTCTAGGTGAGAGGAGCCAGGAATCTTTTCCCAAGCAAACAAAGCAGGACCATTCCAAACCACTCCATGGTGTCTAAATGGTCAGAGATAAAGGGGGAGTGGAAAGAAGTCTTCAGAAGAGGGCTTATAAAAAAGGACAGGCAGGGGCTGGGAAGGTGGCTCAGTGGTAGAGTGCTTGCTTGCCTTGTATGCATGAGGCCCTGGGTTCGATTCTTCAGCACCACATAAGCAGAAAAAGCCAGATGTGGCATTATGGCTCAAGTGGTAGAACACTAGCCTTGAGCTGAAGAGCTGAGGGACAGTAACCAAGCCCAGAGTTCAGGGGCCCCATGACTGACAAAAAAAAAAAAGGGACAGGCAGACCAGCCTTAAACAGCTAGGTATGGCAGTGCACACCTGTAATTCTAGCACTAGCAAACAGGAGAATGGTGAATTCAAGGTCAGCTTGGGCTATATAGTGAGAGACACCTCGTCTCAAGAAACCAAAAGACAGAGGAGAGAGAAGGGGAAGGGAGGAGACCCAGGGATCCAGACAGAAGCTGGAGGAGTGGAAAGCTGAGTTCAGGCAGATAGGAGATTATAGGTTTAGCAGATGAAGTAGAATGGGTAAGCAGTGGGAAGGGGTAATGAGAAAGGGGAGAAAGGGTGGTTTGGGGGGGGGGGGGCCGGGAGCACCCCCACAGAGGGCCTCTGGAGCTAACAGCAGAGGCAGGCATTCCTGGAGTGTGATGTCATCAGCTTGGCATGGCCCGGTGGCCGGCACTCTAGTGAGGTGGCTGAACTCTGACCAGCCAAGAGAAAACCCCCTCTCCACCTCCCACAGCCCCCACTCCCCCAGCGCACACCCCGCCCTTCCCACATTCCAGTCTTTCACTGTCGCCCCAGGCAACTTTTGCTGCCCAAGACCAAACTCCACCAAGGAGAGCCCGGAAGGGCAGGCCGGGCGGGAGTCCAGGCTGGGCCAGCAGGGAGGCACAAGAAAGAGGAAGGATCCAAGGAGAGAAAGAAGGCTGATCTGAGGCAGGAAAGGACTCCAGAAAGCAGGCAGCTTGGGGGGAGGGTTGGGTAGGTAGCACCTTGGGGTAGCTGTGGGTCTCCAGCTGGACAGCTAGGTGGCCCTCAGCAAATGAAGATCTACCAGCTCTCCTGGGGTATTTGGGAGTGTTTATGTGTATGGGGGGGTGGTACTAGAAGGCTGGCACTTACCACAGGAGCAGCAAACAAAGCACTGGGTGTGGTAGAGGCTGTCCAGGGCCTGGCAGGCATTGCTCTGCCCATAGATGCCTTTGTTGCACTTGATACAGGTGCCTAAGGGGAGAGAAGTCAGCGTCATACTCCATTCCCCAGCTCAAATCCAGGATCCATCCCCGAGCTTTTGAGAAGGCCACAAGAAATGGGATGCATAAGATGCTGACCAGGAAGATCTTTTCTTGTTTACTTGATTAGTTAGATTCTTCTTGTTGTGTGTGTGCCAGGACTAGGGTTTGAACTTAGAGCCTTATATTCTCTCCCTTGGCTTTTCTGCTCAGAACTAGGGCTCTGCTTGAGTCACAGCTCCACTTCTGCCTTTCTGCTGATTTATTGGAGGCAAGAGTCTCATCTCACTGACTTTCCTGGGACTGGCTTCAAACCTTAATTCTCAGATCTTAGCCACAAGAGTAGTTAGGATTAGAGGAATGAGCCACCATCGCCTAGCTAACAGATTCTTTCTGATCATCTATATTGTGCCTAGCACAGTACCTAATAGTGTGTGTGTGTGTGGGGGGGGGGGGGAACGGAGAAAGTCAAAACATGCTAGGTTCTGTTGAAGAAACAACAGGCAAATGTGGGACAAATGGTTGGGAGTACTGGCACATAGCCCACTTTAAAATATCTTTCTAGGGGCTGGGAAGGTGGCTCAGTGGTAGAGCGCTTGCCTTGCATGCTCGAGGCCCTGGGTTCGATTCCTCAGCACCACATAAGCAAAAAGCCGGAAGTGGCGCTGTGGCTCAAGTGGTAGAGCACTAGCCTTGAGCTGAAGAGCTGAGGGACAGCGCCCAGGCCCAGAGTTCCGGCCCCACAACCGGACCCAAAAAAAAAAAAAAATCTTTCTAGTAGTTGGGCAGGTAGCTCACGCCTAGAATCCCAACTACTCAGGAAATCGAGACTCAAAGGATTATGGTCGAAGGCCAACTTTAAGCAGAAAAGTCTTTTTACAAAATAATAAAGTATAAAAGCTAGGTTGTAAGTGTGATTCAAATGGTAGAGTACCAGTAGAAGAACCCAAGAGCCTTGTGTTCAAACCCTGATACCAGGAAAAAAGAAAAACACTTTCGAGAAAAGCAGGCTAGGATCAGGAAGTCTTCCTGGGACTTCAGATTTCCCTTCTGTAAATTAATCTGCTGTTCAGGTAAAGAATGATTTCTCTCTACTGGATGCTTTGAAGGATGAAGAGAAGGATCTGGTTCAGCAGAGGGTCCTGTGAGCATGACTCCTATGGGAAGGGAGCTGCCATGGTTGTGTTCCTAAGATGAGAAGGGTGGCAAACCCTCTAATGTCTCCCTGCCACCTGCCACAGGAGAGACACTGAGCTCAGAGCCCTCTCCCTACATCCCCCCACTATGCTGCATATACCTGACTCTGGCACCAGCTTTTCCTGGGTGTGTTCTTCCTTCCCTCCACTCCCCAATTCCAGGCCCATGAGTGAGGGCTAGGGCCTGTCTCTGGGGAGCAGATCCCAACGAGTTTGCCCCACCTCTCCCCCTCGGCACACTGCCACACTCCCTGCCTGTTGGGGCCCATCCCAGTCTTTGCCCAGGGGCTTGGGAGCTGGTGCAGCAGCTGCAGCAACTGATGAGCCCAGGCCTGTTCGGCTCCCACCCTCTGGCAGCTGGGGCAAGGCTGAAGCCAAGGAAGAGGGCCCCTACTAAGAGGCTACCTTCAGGGTAGGACTGGGGCCCAAGGAGACCCTAGGGGCTTTGTTGCCTAAGAAGCTCCCACCTGTGAATTCAAAAGGGTGGCTAGCCACAAGGGACAGATCTGCCCAGGAGTGTCACACCAGAAGTCCTATCAGAGATGTTCTTTGGGAAGCCTTGGCCATGATGGGAAGACAAGAGGAAGCTGCTCAGGCATGTCTGCCTCACCTCCTGTCTCCCAGCCTATCCATACCTATCTGCTTCCTACCACTTCCTGCCATTTCATTCCAAGTTCTCTGAGTTCCTTTCTTCCTTTTGGCTCTGATGGTTTAGCCAAGGAGACTTACTTCTCAGTGACTCCTCCTGGGCTTCAAAAGGAAACTGCTAAATGACCCTGTCACTCTGTTTCCCTTGATCAAAGTGATTTAGCATCATCTGTTCTGGGCTTCCCCCTCTTAGAGTAGGAGAAAAGAATGGGCTGGGGAGAAGTGTTGGGGTTGAACTATGCAGCCCCTTCCCGCCTGCAGCCCTGTTACCTCTAGATTTCTTCCCAATCATCCCTGCCCAACTTGCGTTCCTCTCCCTCTTCACATTTCTAGCCATGAACTTCTACAGCATGGGGTCTATGCAGGGCAGGGACGTGAGTGGTAAGAATGGTGGGGAGGCGCTGGGAAACTGAAGAGGCTCACAGTCTAGGAGGGTGCACCTTCCACTCTGCAATCAGATCGGGCATTGCTTTTTATGAAGCAGTGCCTATGGGCTCGAGACCCTTTCACACACACACCCGCCCCCCCAATCCTGAGACTTATCATCAAATCCATACTTCCTGAACACCACCAGATTTCCTTAACTGCACACAAAGTCAGGGGCTACTTCTGGGCTGAATCGTAAACAGGTTATGGCCAGCATTCAAGGCCAGGTTGTTACTGATGCGCACAGGATGGATATACATCCATCCAAAGGTGGCGGTGTTCCAGTGGTCGTGGCTTTTGCCCTGACGTCCGGAGGGTGGGGGGAAGTGGTCGTACCTTCGGGTCTCTGCTTTCATGCCCACGGGCACACCTCGCCAGCAGGACTGGGGCTGGGCGACATGTGGGTGCCTAGGTTGCGTTTCAGGGCGCTCCATTTCCCCGACAGCGGCCGCGGTTCCGCGTGAACTGGGGAGCACCCCCCCCCCCCGCAACCGCGTGAGCGCACCCCACCCCTGGGCCGCGGCGGGCCCCGCCCGCGGGCACCTGGAGCGCCAGGGCAGGAGTCGGCACGCACGCGGCCCGCCCGCCCCGCCCCCACCCGCGCATTCCCCGAATTCCTGCGGGGGGGCCGGGTGGGGGAGCGGCGCGCCGCAGCCTGCAGGGGCAGCGTCGCGAGGGGGGGGAGCAAGGTGGGGGGGGATGCTCTCGGCACCACCGGGTATCCTCCCAGCAGGGCCTCCTACTGCGAGAACCCCAGGCGCTCTAAAGCTACAGATAATGAGGAGGGTCTGAATTTGGCAAGGGCTCTGGGGTCCACCCCCGACCATCCCTCGGGCCACTCTTCTGCCTCTGGGACCCCTGGGCACGGGCAATTTGGGCCGCCGGGGCCCTGGAGAGTCGATCTAGAGGACTGGTCCCCCCTCCCCGACCCTCGCCACTTGTCTTTCACTCACCGAAGTAGTCCTCGCGGGCCTCTGGCTCCCGCATCCGGGCTCGGGAGGCCTCCGGAACGAAAGGACCCGGCGGCTCCTCGGCCCCCGACGGTTCTACCCCCGGAGGTTCCCCTCGGGCGCAGACTTCTCGCCCGCCGCTGCCCACCGTCAAGCGCAGCAAGGCTGTGAGCTCATCCTGGTAACGGGCACCCGCGGCGCAATCCGCGTAGCCAGTCACTGAGTGTCGTCCGGGCTGCGCTCCGCGTCTTTCCAGGGGCCCCGCCGCTCCCGCTGCGGCCCCGGTCAGAGCTCCCGGGCTGCCCAGGGCCGGGGGGTACGAGTGGCGGCTCTCCTGGCAGCCGAAACCCGCGGGCCGGTGAGCGCACAGTCGGTCCAGGGCGGCATGGAGCTCGGGGTAGGCGGACGGGACCCCTCCGGGGGAATAGCCTGCCGAAGCCCCGGTCAGGGGTGGGCCGAACAGGCACGGGCCGGCGGGCAGGGGGCTCCCGTGGCGCTGGTCGTAGCCCATGCTGATGCCGCTGGTGCGATTGCTGCAGGGCCGGCTACCTCCGGCTCCACCGGCCCCCGCCCCGTCCAGCAGCAAGCTGCCCCGGGGGCTGGACGGCTTACTCGCGTCGCTGGCTGAGCTACTGGCGAAGCTGGAGCGGGGACTTAGGGCCGGTGCCGTCGTCTCCAGCCGGAAATCGGGAGGCAATGACTGAGGTAGAGGCAAGGCCCGGGTGGGCAGCGGCCCCCCAGGAAAGGAGCCTTCGTAGCGCTGCGCCTCGAACGAGCTGCGCGGATTCCGCTCAGAGTCCAGGGGGCCTTGCTCCCGAGACGGCTCCAGTGGCTCATCCCCAGGTCCCCCAGCAGCTCCTCGGGGCCCTGATTTCCTGGGTGCCCCCGGCCCACTTAGGCGCCCCTTTCCCGGCCCCGGAGTTCCATCAGACCCAGACCGGCTCGCTTCACCCTTTCTGCGGCCGAACTTGGCGCTGCCGGAGTCCGAGAGCCTTAACTTCTCCAGCAGGCGACTGGCTTTCTCCCCTAGCCGCTCCATGCCCTCGGGCCCGGGGCCTGTAGCCCCCTCCCCTCCTGGCACCCCGCGGCGTCTTGGTGGCCGCTTCTTTTTGACTGCGGCCGGACCTCCGTTTCCCAGGGGTACAGGATAGGCACAGAGGGCTTAGCGGGCGTCCCAGGTGCCCGGCGCCCGCAATCCCGCAGCATCCCCCGGCGAGAGGGGCTTCTTCCCCCCGCGCATCTGGGGTCAAGTGGGTCAGCAAGGGCCCAGAGCCGTGGCTGTCGGGCCCGCAGGTCTCTATCTGTTCACGCGTCGACGCAACTCACCACACGACTGACCCCGGCCCCCGCCCCCCTAGCGCTCTCACACTCCGCACACACCGAACTTCTCTCCCAAACTTTTGTCTGCCTGGCCGGATCTACTTTCCTGGAAGGGCGGAGCGCGGTGTGCAGGGGAGCGACTGGGTGCTTGCGCAGGGATCTCCGGTGCGTCGAAAGGGGGTCGCGGCACGGTGGGAGGCTAACTGCCCCGGAGGTGAGGTTCCGCCGACTGGACTGAAAGGAGGGACAGAGGCGGCTTGGATAGCCGCGACCACAGCGCTCCAGAACGGGAACGGGAAAGAACGAAGCGGGAGGGAGAGAGGGAGGGGACTTTTTGTTTGCAGTTGGAATGCGCGGAGGGGCACTGTGGATGTCGCGGTCGGGACTTACGCGAGGCGTGTGTTCTGCGCAAATACCGTGACTTTGTTCCTAGAGTGGGGACGGGGGAGAGACTGGCACCAAAGTGCTGAGATCGGGGAGCGAGCCGTAGGGAAGACAGGAAGGAAGAAGAAAGAGAGATACGTGGAAAGGCTAGCGGTGTGTAGGTGAAGGCGGTCCTTATAAAGATAGCTCTGAAAGGCGAGGAGTCCCATGTAGGTGAACACAGGTAGCGGAAGGAAGAATGGGAGTAAAGGCGAGTGTGGGAGGCACTGAGACGGATGCTTAGACAAAGGAAAAGGACACGTTAGTCCTGGGAGCTTGAGACACAAAGTGAAGAAGAAGAAAAAAAACACGCACCACTTTTGTGGACTCGCAGATCTGTGATGGTGGAGAAGCCGGTGGAAGAGGTATACATAACTCTGTGTCGAAGCAGTGATAGAGAGTAGAGACAAGGTTTGGGACTAATCCTTGGCCTTAAGAGGGAGGGAAGAAGATTTAGTGTGTATATAAAAGCAGGTTTGATACTTACTAATCGCTACCTGAAGTGTAGGAGAGAAAAGACTACTGGAGACACCCACCCCCTGGTGTTGGGAAAGAAAATTTTTAGCAAATGTTTCAGGTGACTATGGGGCTTGAAGGCCTGTTTTTAGGGTGAGCAAACACTCCTGCCCCTCCCGGTTGGTGTTAGGAAGTTGATGACAAAGATTATGTTAACTTAGGACGAAGGAAAGAAATGGCAGCTAAAGGAAGTGACACGTGAAAATGACCAAGGTGGGAAAGAGGCTGATATTGACCAGACTGGGAGAATCAAGAGTAAGGAAAAGAAGAAATCCTAACTGAAGCTAAACACCAGCCAACTGATTTAATCAGGAGAGTAACACATCAGGGACAAGGGACTGAAGAAGTAGCATGAAGAAAAATGACTCTTGGAGCCGGTAATGTGGCTTAGTGGTAAAGTGCTTGTCTAGCATGCATGAAGCCCTGGGTTCGATTCCTCAGTACCACATAAACAGAAAAAGCTGGAAATGGCACTGTGGATAGGATGTTACCCTTGAGCAAAAGAAGCTCAGGGACAATGTCTAGGTCCTAAATTCAAGCCCAAGGACTGGCAAAAACAAAACAAAACATGTATTTAGAGAGTATTAAGGTTACATGCAAACAAATCATGCCTATTATTTTCATCTCAGCATTTTGGACACCTTTTATAATTTAGTGTGGCCTTGTGAAATGGAAGAGGAAAGCCAGGTGTGATGGTGCATAGTTAATCCCAGTACCCAGATCTCAGGAAGCTTGAGGTAGGAGGGTCATAAATTTGAGGTCAGCCTGGGCTCCATAGTCAGAACTTGTTTTATTTTGTTTAAAACAAGATGTCAGATGCCTGTGGCTCACACTTGTAATCATAGCTACTCAGGAGGCTGAGATCTGATGATCATGGTTTGAATCCAACCAGGCAGAAAAGTCTGTAAGATTCTTATGTTAGGAAAAGGCTAGAAGCGGCACTGTGGCTCAAGTGGCAGAGTGCTGTTAGCCTTGAGCACAAAGAGGTTCAGGGACAGCACCCAGGCCCCTGGGGAAGTGGGGGGGAGAAGAGAAAAAAAAAAGAGAAAGAAGCCAGGCACCGGTGGCTTATGCCTGTAATCTTAGCTACTCAGAAGGTTGAGATCTGAAGATCTGAGATAGTGGTTCAAAGCCAGCCTGGGAGAATCTTTTTTTTTTTTTGGTTGTGGGGCTTGAACTCTGGGCCTGGGCGCTGTCCCTCAGCTCTTCAGCTCAAGGCGGGCGCTCTACCACTTGAGCTACAGCGCCACTTCCGGTTTTCTAGTGGTTTATTGGAGTTTCACGGACTTTCCTGCCCGGGCTGGCTTTGAACAGCGATCCTCAGATCTCAGCCTCCTGAGTTGCTAGGATTACAGGCGTGAGCCACCGGTGCCCAGCCAGCCTGGGAGAATCTTATCTCCAATTAACCACCAGAAAACTGGATGTGGAGCTGTGGCTCTAAGTGGTAGAGCACTAGCCTTGAGCAAAAAAGCTCAGGGATAGCACCCAGGCCAACGACTGACTAAAGGGATGGGGAGGGGGAGGAAAGGGAAGGAAGGAGGGAAGGTTAATATCTTTGGGCAAATTGGATTTTTTGCCCAAGTTGCATTGTATCCAGGGACTTCTGAAAATGAGCCTGTTTGGCTCGACAAATCAAGCCTAAAACTTTCCCTTGGGATCCCATAGAGAGTTTGCTACTACATTGGAGGACCGGAAACACAACAGAAGGGGAGCTATCAAGTTACATCTAGAACCTGTTGGCAGTAACATCTTTAGAATTAACCTGAGGCTCTCCATTCCTGACTCCAAATGGAAGGAAATTCTGGATTCTTCCAGTTACTTACACCTGAAATATTAGTATAACATCTAGTAATTGATAAGAGAGTAAATCCTAAATTAGATGATGGTGACTCATGCCTATAATCCTAGTTACTCAGAAGGCTGAGTTTGTAAGACTGAAGTTTGAAGCCAGCCAGCCCAGGTAGTCAATTCAAGAGATTCTTAATTTCCAAACAACTAGCAAAAAGCTGGAAGTGGAGTTATGGCTCAAGTGATAGAGCTAAATGACAACTAAGAGCTAGATTCTCTGAGTATCAGCACATACACACACAAGTTGAGAAGCCACTAAAAAGGTCCACCTAGGAGTTGGTGGCAGCAATGGACACAGTTAACGAAATAGCCTGCTTTCTTAGGAGATAACAGGAAGCAGAGACTAGTGAAGCAGAAAAGGGCAATAGTGCTCCTGACCTCAGGGTGACTACTCTACAGTTGAACTAGAACTGGGAGGCCCCGAGGGGCTAATCTCTGCTCCACTCCCAACAGTCATTGTTTGTAGGGTTTTTATTGTTGTTCCAAAGGGTGAATTCAGAGCCTCACATTTGCTTGGCTTGCTTGATCAGCTTGCTTGCTTTGCTGGCACTTTTGTACCACTTGAACCACACATCCAGCCCTATATTTTGCTTGTTTTGGTTTTTTTGTTTTGTTTTGTTTTTTGTTTTTTGTCGGTTATGGAGCTTGAACTCTGGACCTAGGCGCTGTCTCTCAGTTCTTCAGCTCAAGGCTAGCACTCTACTTCTTGAACCATAGCACCAGGTTTTCTGGTGGTTAATTGGAGATAAGAGTCTCACAGACTTTCCTGCACAGGCTGGCTTTGAACAGAAAAAACTGGAAGTAGTACTGTGGCTCAAGTGGTAAAGAGACTCAGGGAAAGTGCCCAGGCCCTGAGGAGTGGAGAGAGAGAGAGAGAAAGAGACAGAGAGAGACAGAAAGAGACAGAGAGATCTCAACCTCCTGAGTAGAATTATAGGCATGAGCCACCAGAGCCCGGCTTTGCTTGTTATTTTTTTTTGGGGGGGTGGGGGCTCCGGTCGTGGGGCTTGAACTCTGGGCCTGGGTGCTGTCCCTCAGCTCTTCAGCTCAAGGCTAGTGCTGTACCACTTGAGCTACAGCGCCAGTTCCAGCATTTTTCTTTTTGCTTATGTGGTGCTAAGGAATTGAACCCAGGACCTCATGCATGCAAGGCAAGCGCTCTGCCACTGAGCCACCTTCCCAGCCCTTGCTTGTTACTTTAGAGATGGAGTCTAGCATTTCCATATGAGCTGGCCTTGAACAAAGATCCTTTGGATCTCAGCCTTCTGATGGTCAGGCCACCATCTCTCATGTCTTAAACCAGTGCAAGAGTTTCTTGGCCAAGTCTTGTTTCCAAGCCATCTTATGTCTGTGTGTGGGGGGGGGCGGGGTGCGGGGGGTCCAGTCGTGGGGCCTGAACTCTGGGCCTGGGTGCTGTCCCTCAGCTCTTCAGCTCAAGGCTAGCGTTCTACCACTTGAACAACAGCTCCACTTCCAGCTTTTTTCTTTTTGCTTATGTGGTGCTGAGGAATCGAACCCAGGGCCTCAGGCATGCAAGGCAAGCGCTCTACCACTGAGCCACCTTCCTAGCCCTGCCATCTTATGTCTTGAAGCAAGTAATTCTCTGTCTCTGTCTGTCTCTGTCTCTCTGTCTCTCTCTCTCTCTCCACTCCTCAGGGCCTGGGCACTTTCCCTGAGCCTCTTTACTCAAGGCTAACACTCTACCACTTGAGCCACAGTGCTACTTCCAGTTTTTTCTGTTTATGTGGTATTGAGGAATCCAGGGCTTCATGCATGCTAGGCAAGCACTCTACCACTAAGCCACATTCCCAGCTCTTAAGTGATTCTTTTTTTTTTGGTTGTAAGGCTTGAACTCTGGGCCTGGTGCTGTCCTTCAGCTCTTCAGCTAAGGCTAGCGCTATACCACTTGAGCCTCAGCTCCATTTCCGCTTTTTTCTGCTTATGTGGTGCTGAGGAATCGAACCCAGGGTCTCATGCATGCAAGGCAAGCACTCTACCAGTGAGCCACCTTCCCAGCCCTCCAGTGATTCTTGTAGTACACAAAACTGAGCATCTCATTTTCCTGCTTCAAAACCTTTTAGTAAGCTGGCGTTGGTGGCTCATACCTGTAATCCTGGTTACTCAGGAGGCTAAAATTTGGAAAATCATGGCTCAAAGCCAAGCTTCACAGAAAAGTCTGTGATCCTTCATCTCCAACAACCAACATAAAGCTGATCTGGAGGCATGGCTTAAGTGGTAGGGTACCAGCTGTGAGCAAGAAAGCTTGGCAAGACCATGAATCCCTGAGTTCAAGTCCTGGTACCAGCATAAACAAAAAAAGCAACCTCTTGATGCTTACTCATCACTTTTGAGCTATGGTCTACACTATATTTATTTATTTTGTGTGCTGGTTTTGGGGCTTGAACTCAGGGTTTGGGCACTGTCCTTGAACTTTTTTATTTTTGGGTCCGGTTATGGGGCCTGAACTCTGGACATGGGCGCTATCCCTCAGCAATTCAGCTCAAGGCTAGCACTCTACCACTTGAGCCACAGCACCACTTCCAGCTTTTTCTGCTTATGTGGTACTGAGGAATGGAACCCAGGGCCTCAAGCATGCAAGGCAAGCGCTCTACCACTGAGCTACCTTCCCAGCCCCTCCTTGAGCTTTTTTTTTTTTTTTTTTGGTCCGGTTGTGGGGCCTCCGCTCTAGGCCTGGGCGCTGTCCCTCAGCTCTTCAGCTCAAGGCTAGCGCTCTACCACTTGAGCCACAGCGCCACTTCCGGCTTTTTTCTTTTTGCTTATGTGGTGCTGAGGAATCGAACCCAGGGCCTCAGGCATGCAAGGCAAGCGCTCTACCACTGAGCCACCTTCCCAGCCCCTCCTTGAGCTTTTTTAAGGTTAGCACTCTTAACACTTGAACCACAGATCTACTTCCAGCTTTTTGGTAATTAATTGGACGTAAGAGTCTCATGGACTTTCCTACCCAGGCTAGCTTCAAACTTCTGAGCAGCTAGGATTGTAGGATTGCAGTTATGAGCCACCAGTGCTCAGTTTTATTTTTAATTATCTCTTCTTCCTCCTCCTCCTCCTCCTCCTCCTCCTCCTCCTCCCCCTCCCCCTCCCCCTCCCCCTCCTCCTCCTCCTCTTCTTCTTCTTCTTCTTCTTCATTTTGGTATTGGGGATTGAATACAGGGCTTCATCATTCTTGCTGGGCAGGCATTCTATCACTTGGGCCACACCTCCAGCCCATTTTTTTCCTTCCTTCCTTCCTTCCTTCTTTCCTTCCTTCCTTCCTTCCTTCCTTCCTCCCTTCTCTCTCTCTCACTCTCTTTCTGTCTTCTGAACTGAGGGCCCTGACCTCACTTGACTGCTTGCTTTGCTGGTGCTCTACCATTTGAGCCTCCAGCCTGGCTTTTTGCTGGTTATTTTGGACATGGGGTCTCATGGACTTTTCTGCCTGTGCTGGTCTCAAACCACAATCCTGTTTCTCTGAGTAGCAAGGTTTACAGATAGCCCAGAGCCACTAGCTCCCAGCTCCCATTGTTTTTTTTTTTATAAGGTTTACCTTTATAGACTGTTCTCAGCATCATTTATCCCCTCCCCTAACTAGTTTGAAGTAAACCTGGTCTGTATTCACTCTAGTTGGACTTTTGTACCTGCTTGTTCCATTTGAGATATTCTCCTGGCCTCTGCCTTTCTCCTGATTTAATCTTCTTTTAGATATCAGTTTAAACACCATTGCCTCTGAGAAGCCTTTCTGACTGCAAGAGAAGGTTAGCTACCTCTGCTGAATACTGGCTTACTTCATTGCCCACTCAATTGACAGGCTTCCCAATGGCATAAAAAACCTGATCATCTAAACACATCAACAGTGTATCCATAGCACCTCACACCTAATAAAGTGTTTTTTGCTGTGTGTTTGTGTGCACATATGTGTGCTGGGACTGAGGCTTTAACCCAGGGTTTCAAGCTCTGGCTTGGCTTTTTTGCTCAAGGCTGGTGCTCTACCATTTGAGCCATATCTCCACTTCTGGCTCTTTACTGGTTAACTGAAGGTAGGAATGTGTCAGGATTTTCTGCCTAGGCTGGCTTTGAACCTTAGATCTCAGTCTCCTGAATAGCTAGGATTATAGATATGAGCCACCAGGTCTTAGGTGTTTTTTTTTTTTTTTCCTTCAGTTTTTGAGATAGGGTCTCATGATGTAGCCCAAGTTGATCTTACTCATCTTCCTGCCCCAGCCACCAGAGCGCTAGAATTATAGGCACATGCCAACATACCCTGCTTTAATATTTATTGTATTACTGAATGACTATAAAGCCTTTTATATCTTATCCATTTGACATGTTTGTGTGTGTAGACACATATACCCTCAAACTACAGCTTGGCTGATAGGTCTAAGAAACAACTACAAAGCTATATTCTGCTTGGTCATAGGCATGGAGAAAAACCATTAGTGAAACATGGAAATTCTTTTAAAATCTAATCTCCTGCTCTTGTAAAATGTTTACAATAAAATCTTCCTTATATAATCCAGTAAATAATGGCTATTATACCTAGATCCCAAGTCCCAAATAGTTATGGAGCCCATGGTCCCTTGCCTAGCTCATGATTGAAACTGCCACCAGGTGGCAGTATTACCCTGAACTACTTCTGTTTTGCTTCCACTGCAGAGCCAGACCAGCAGTTAAGGGGAAGCAAGATACCACAAGGGCTGCTTCCCTTGAGCTTTGGGCGAAATGGGGGAAACAACCAAAAGAAAACTCAGAGACAGGAACATGTGTCAAAAAAGGCCCCATGTTTCTTTGATGCATCCTTTTCTTATCCCAGGTTCCCTCGAGGCACTGCTTATGCTTTCAGGAATAAGCATTTTTCTAGCTTGCCATTCACAGTGGGGAAGTCACCCCCTTCTCCATGAGTTCTGGTATCCAACCAGAGCTTCTAGCTTCCACATCAAACAGAGACTGTGTTAAGAAAAGAGGTGGCTCATGCCCATAATCCTAGCTACTCAGGAGGCTGCGATCTGAGGATCACAGTTCAAAGCCAGGCCAGGCAGGAAAGTCCATGAGACTCTTATCTCTAATAAACCACCAGAAAACTGAAAGTGGCACTGTGGCTCAAGTGGTAGAGTGCTAGCCTTGAGCTGAAGAGTTCAGGGACAGCGCCCAGGCCAGAGTTTAAGCTCCATGATTGGAAAAAAAAAGAGAGAGATGCTTGTTCAGTCTACAGAAAATATCTCATTGGGAGAAGCCCCATGGCCCCTCTTTTCTGGGATGTGGGGAGTGGCAGAAGCCACAGTTTTTTCTTGGTCAAAGACCTCACTCATCCTTTTCTACTTTGATTTCAATGAATGAGTTCAAGTCAGGACAGCAGGTTTTATGGGGTTGGTCGAAAGATGGGGAGATGGGTCCATTGTCATGGCTTCCTTCCTCTTCGTCCTCATGAAAATTAGGATTATACAGTTCTGGGGGAAGGAGTTGGGCTTCCGCAGAAGGCAGTCTGTCTGAAGGAGGTCCATACACACGGTTGGCTTTGGTGCCATGCTTAGAGTTAGCATCCAGGTGGTAGCAGAGCTCTGTGAGGCGCTGGGCCCGGAACCGAGGAGGGCGGGCCACCCAGACCCCTGGCTCATTAAGACTGTCCTCTTCATCTGACATCAGCTCTTCTGTCACATCCTTCCACAGGCGTTGGTCTTCAGGTCCGAAATGTCTCATGATGCTGGATCGGTTGGCAAACAGCTAAGGTAGGACCCCAAAACAGAGATTAGGAAGAAAAATAACAGACTATGGATTTAGGGAAAGGGGTTAGGTGGGGAAGAAGGCAGTGTAAAACCCATTCTTTAAGTCCAAGTTCAGAACTGGTTTGCCCTCCACCTCTGCCTGTCTACTTTCAGCCTGGCATCCCTAGTCCCAGATGCCTCATGCCTTCTCCATTATGGCTTAATTAGGATTTAGGGTTTAGCATTTTTTTTCTGTGCTCATATTCAGACTTGAACTCAGGGCCTAGGCACTGTCCTTCAGCTTTATTGCTCAAGGCTGTCACTCTACCACTTCAGCCAGACTTCCACTTTTTTTTCCTGCCAGTCCTAGGGCTTGAACTCAGCGCCTGGACACTGTCCTTGAGCTTCTTTTGCTCAAGGCTAGCGTTCTACCACTTGAGCCACAGCGCCCCTTCTGACTTTTTCTGTTTATTTGGTGCTGAGGAATTGAATCCAGGGCTTCATGCATGCTAGCAAGCACGCTACTACATTCCCAGTCCCTTGTTGTTGTTGTTGTTTGTGTTAGTCATAGTGCTTGAACTCTGGGCCTGGGCTCTTCAGCTCAAGGCCAACGCTCTACCACTTGAGTCACAGCACCACTTCCAGTTTTCTGGTGGTTAATTGGAGACCTGAGTCTCATGGGCTTTCCTGCTCAGGCTGGCTTTGAACTGCAATCCTCAGATCTCAGCCTCTTAAATAGCTAGGATTACAGGCATGAGCCACCTGCACTGGGCTTCCCCCCTACCCACCTTTCTGTTTGTTTGTTTTGTTTTGTTTTTGTGTTTAATTGGAGATAAGAGTCACAGACTTTCCTGCCCAGGGTAGATATGAACCTTGATCCTCATATCTCAGCCTGCTGAGAAGCTAGAATTACAGCAATGAGCCACTGGTGACCAGCTGGCTTTAGCATCTTGAAAGGAAGGCCTAGATCCCTACCCGATACCGGCGACTTCGAAGTTTCTTTTCTTCTTTTTCTTTCAGGCCTTTAAAAGGGTTTAAGGAGTTGCGATACTCCCGTCTCTTGGTAAGGAAGTAGGCCACACAGGCTCCTGGAGGGAAGAGAGGAGGGAGTAAGCAGTGGAGTCCTCTAGAGCTGTGGTCCCAGCCCTTTTTATCTTTTTTGACCTCACACTGCTGAATGGAAGGCTGGCATCACTCACTACTGAGACAGTGGGCTCTCCTGCCATACACGCCAGCATCTCTTCAGTCCTGTCTGGTTTAGTATCATCTCCAATATTAACTCTTCCTATCTCCCACTAAAAATACAACTGCCCCTCGTGCATTAACTCTGCCTTATTATCAATCAATCAATAGATATCAATCACTACTTTTTTTTTCTTTTATTGGTACTAAAGTTTGAATTCAGGGCCTTGTGCTCATTCAGCTAGTGCTCTACCACTTGAGCCATGCCTCCAGCCTTGCTTTTTGCTGGTTAATTGAGTCTTGTGTTTTTTTCCTACCTGAGCTAGCTTTGAAACATGTATCTTCTACATTTCAGCCATCCGAGTAGATAAGATTATAGGTATGAGCCACCTTGTCCAGCTTCAAGCACTTTTTCTTTTTGTTAGTTGTGGAGCTTGAACTGAGGACCTAGGTGCTGTCCTGGGGCTAGTACTGTGGCTTGAACTTAGGGCTTCATGCTTTTGCTTGGCTTATTTCAATCAATGCTTGTGCTCTACCACTTGAGTGATACCTCTACATCTGGTTTTTGCTGGTTAATTGGAGATAAGAGTCTCGTAGACTTTCCAGCCCAGGCTGCCTTCAAACTGTGATCCTCAGTTCTAAGCCTCCTGACTAGTTAGGCTTATAGGCATGAGCCACTCATGCCCAACTTCAAAATAATTTTTTTTGTTTTGTTTTGTTTTGTTTTTTTGGTCATAGAGCTTGAACTCTGGGCCTGGGCGCTGTCCCTCAGCTCTTCAGCTCAAGGCGAGCGCTCTACCACTTGAGCTACAGCGCCACTTCCGGTTTTCTAGTGATTTATTGGCGATAGGAGTCTCATGGTCTTTCCTGCCTGGGCTGACTTTGAACCGAGATCCTCCGATCTCAGCCTCCTGAGTAGCTAGGATTACAGGCGTGAGCCACTGGCACCCAGCACAAAAGAGTTTTAAAGTATACCATTTTCATCACCTCCTCCTAAGTCATCCCTACTATGTTTCTCCCCTGACCTTGGTGTGGGAGGGGAGGGGACAGAGAATGAGTGGCCACGAGCCAGTTTTCCTCACCTTTCAGCTCCTTATCAGTGTAATTGTGGGGACTGGTGACCAGCTCCTGCTTGAGCTTTTCCAGAAGGAACTTCACGACTGAGATGTTCCAGGAGGACTTGATGCTACCAGAGGAGAATATGGATGAGGCACTCAGCTTTTAAGGAGACACATGAACAGAGCCACCCAGCACTAATCAATCAGGTGCTAAATTCCTGGGCCTAACACAGGATACCAGGGACAAAGGGGAGAAGGAGGTAGTGGCCTCCCCGTGGTATTGGTGTCCCCTCTGCTTCCCTCTCCTTAGCAAAGTACCCTGTGATCTTTTTCCCTCAAGAGACCATACCTTTCAGACCCATTGAATCTCTTGTCATTGGTGATATGGTTATGCACATTGTGGACCAATTTCTAGGAGGGGAAAAAAACAAAAACAGAATCAAGCCAGGAGTGGATAGAATGAAAACCTTCCTCTGGTACCTATGATTAAATGGGATTGTCCTTGTGGGATTTTCTGCCTGAGTTCTTTCCACAGCCTTGGTACCACTTTTGTATAGGCTGTTTCTTAACTAGAGAGCCAATCTAAGTTAGTTTTGCTCTGTGTGTGTGTGTGTTTGTGCCAGTCCTGGGGCATGAACTAAGGGCTTGGTGCTGTCCCTAGACATTTTTTGTTCAAGAATAGCACTCTAGTGCTGGGAAGATGGCTCAGTGGTAGAGTGCTTGCCGTGCATGCATGAGGCCCTGGGTTCCATTCCTCAGCACCACGTAAACAGAAAAAGCCAGAAGTGGATGCTGTGACTCAAGTGGTAGAGCACTAGCCTTGAGCTGAAGTGCTCAGGAACAGTGCCTAGGCCCAGGGTTCAAGCCCCACGACTGACCAAAAAAAAACAGCACTCTACCACGTGAGCCATATTCGCACTTGTGGCTTTTTTAGTAGTTAATTGAAGACCAGAGTCTCACAGACTTTCCTGCCCAGGATGGCTTTGAACCATGATCCTGAGATCTCAGCCTCTTGAGTAGCTAGGATTACAGGCGTGAACTTCTGGCACCCGGCCCAAGTTAGTATTTCTTTTTTTTTTTTTGGTCGGTCGTGGGGCTTGAATTCTGGGCTTGGGCGCTGTCCCTCAGCTCTTCAGCTCAAGGCGAGCGCTCTACCACTTGAGCCACAGCGCCACTTCCGGCTTTTTGCTTATGTGGTGCTGAGGAATCAAACCCAGGGCCTCATGCATTCAAGGCAAGTGCTCTACCACTGAGCCACCTTCCCAGCCCCCCCTTTTTCTTTTTCTTGCCCTGTATCAGAGTTGGAACTCAGGTCCTATGCTTGATTGGACTTTGTTCAGCAGGCACTCTACCAGTTCAGCCATATCACTAGCTCTGTTTTGTGCTGACTATTTGGAAACAGAATTCTGTGGTCTTTTCTGTGAAAGCCTTGAACTTTGAACCTTGATCCTCTGAATTTCAGTTCCCTGAGTAGCTAGAAATATAGGTATGAGCCACCCCTGTCCTTCCCTTCCCCTACTGCCTTTTTTTTAACATGTGGCAAAAATATTTTAATATTAACATTAAAATATAAAGCATCAACACAGAAATCCCACTGTTGTGTTTTCAAAACAGGGTACAAGGATACATGTAATGACGAGATATTTTGAATTTGCTTAACTTCAAACCCTAAAATGGGAAACCAATCTTGGAGGTAAGGGTATGGCAACAGTGAAGCACAGATCTTGGAGGTGATCAGACTAGAGCCTTGGCTTTACTCCTACTAGGAGACTTTACCCTGCCCTCTACCTTACTCCCACCCTCACTTTTTAAAAGTGTGTCAAGCTTGTAATCCTAGCTACTCAAGATGCTGAGACTTGAGGATCCTGATTCAATGCTAGCCAAAGCAGAAAAGTCCATGGGATTCTTACCTCCAATTAATCAGCAGAAAGCTGGAAGTGGAGCAGTAGCTCAAGTGGTAAAGTGACAGTCTTGAGTGAAAAGCCAAGTGAGAACTCAAGGTCCTGAGTTCAAGCCCTGATATTGGTATGCGTGCATGTGCACATGCACACACAAGTATCAAGACTTCTGCTTCTGGATAATGTGACCACTGGAGTCTTGGATCTCAGACTTTTTCACTAGGAGATACTGAATGTATGTATATGTATATATATATATTAACATACACACATATATATTATATATATTATATATATATATGTGCATGTACACACACACATATATACACATGTATACCAGGGCTACCGCAAGTGAGTATTTCTTTAGCCCCATATTCTTGCAATTTTTTTTTCTTTTTTCTTTTTTTTTTGCCAGTCATGGGGCCTGAACTCTGGGCCTGGGTGCTGTCTCTCAGCTCTTCGGCTCAAGGTTAGTGCTCTACCACTTGAGCCACAGCACCATTTCAGGCTTTTTCTGCTTATGTGGTGCTGAGGAATCAAACCCAGGGTCTCAAGCATGCAAGGCAAGCACTCTACCACTGAGACACCTTCCCAGCCCCTACTCTTGCAATTTTTAAATCTTCTTTGAAACATATCTATATTTCTTCAAATATAAAGATATCTCATGACATCTAGTAAAATTAATGACCCAGGAAAATGTCTCAGCTTTAGCCACAGCTTTGTATATCCCTTTGCCCATGATCACAACTCCCAGGGGTATAGATATGGTCTGAAAAGCACAATTCTAAAATACAGATGTGAAAAAATAAATAAATAAAATAACAGATGTGTGAAGTGGAAAGCACTATCAGTAACCTCCCTGTCATGGCACTAAGCAGAGTTGGAGTTCTGTTCATATGCATCTAATGATGGGTCCTTCCTGAATCAGCTTAATCTATTGTTGACCATCTTTTTCTTTTTCTTTTTTTTTTTTTGGGTCCGGTCATGGGGCTTGAACTCTGGGCCTGGGCACTGTCCCTCAGCTCTTCAGCTCAAGGCTAGCGCTCTACCACTTGAGCCACAGCGCCACTTCTGGCTTTTTTCTTTTTGCTTATGTGGTGCTGAGGAATCGAACCCAGGGCCTCGAGCATGCAAGGCAAGCGCTGTACCACTGAGCCACCTTCCCAGCCCCGACCAACATCTTTTTCTTTTCCTTCCTTCCTTCCTTCCTTCCTTCCTTCCTTCCTTCCTTCCTTCCTTCCTTCCTTCCTTCCTTCCTTCCTTCCTTTCTCTCTCTCTCTCTCTCTCTCTCTCTCTTTCTTTCTTTTTTTGTGCCAGTCCTGGGGCTTGAACTCAGGGCATAGGCACTGTCTTTGAGCTTTTTTTTTTTTTTGCTCAAGATTAGTGCTCTACCACTTCAGCCACAGCTCCACTTCCAGCTTTTTGGTGGTTAATTGGAGATGAGTCTCACAGACTTTCCTGCCCCAGCTGGCTTCAAACTCTGATCCTCAGATCTCAGTCTCCTAATCCTAGCTAGGATTACAGTCATGAGCCACCAGTGCATGACCCAAAATTATCCATCTGAAATATTCATATGGTGACTTAGGGTGTTAATTCTGTATCTAGAAATCTCCAATGCCATGCCAACTTAGAATAGCACTATCAGCTTTATATAGCTTGCTCTCTACTCTATAAAGAGATGTTACTGCTGGCACCAGTGGCTTATGCCTATAATCCTGGCTAATCAGGAGGCTGAGAGCTAAGGATCTCAGTTCAAAGCCAGCCAGGGTTAGAAAGTCCATGAGACGCTTATCTCCAACAAACTTCCAAAAAGCCAGAAGTGGAACTGTGGTATTAGTGGTAGAGCCTTAGCCTTGAACAAAGAAGCTAAAGCATAGCCCAGGCCCCAAGTTCAAGCCCCAGGACACACACACACACACACACACACACACACACACACACACACACACACAATGCTACTGTCCTATATTTATAGTTGTTGGCCTAGAACTCATGATCCTTCTGCTTCAGCCACCCATGTACTGGGATTAGAGGTATGTGCCACCATGTTCAACTTTATAGTTATTTTACCTCTCAGAAATCCAAATGTAAGGAATCACAAAGGATTGTGTGAATGCTGCAGGAAAAATTTTGAAGAGTTTCCAAAGAACGAAGAAAAAAAAGTTGTGTATCTTCCAACTCAAGTGGCTTGGAAGAGAGCAGGTGATAAAAATCAAACCAGTCAAAGGGAAAGGGAAATAATCTCAACACTAGGTGTTAAGACTGTAAAGACGCTGGCTCACCTACCCCCCGAATGAACTATAAATAAATATATTTCTCCAAGGGCTTGCTGGAATGTGCAGCATCCTGAGGAATTAGGCTCCTGGTTTGGACTTTTTGGTTCACAGGATCCCAATCAATCCACAGGAGCTCAGAAGAATGGAGAGATGCCTCTTTGATTCATTTTCAGAGCTAAAGATTGGAACAGTAAAGATCTCCAACTATTTCACACTGCAAACCCACAGTCTAGCACAGGAATATCTTGAACTCTGGGTTTGGGCGTTGTCCCTGAGCTCTGCAGCTGAAGGCGAGCGCTCTCACACTTGAGCCACAGCACCACTTCCCGTTTTCTGGTGGTTAACTGGAGATAAGAGTCTCACGGACTTTCTGCCTGTACAGTCTCTGAACAGTGATCCTCAGATCTCAGCCCCTTGAGTAGCTAGGATTACAGGCATGAGCCACCAGCACCCATATTTTTTCTTTTTTGAGACAGGGTCTCCTTAGGCAGCCCACACTGGCTTGAGCTTGTGATTCCTACCTAAGCCTCCTTAGTTCTGAAATTGCAAGTGTGCCTTGCTATACAGGGCCTAATTTAGCACAGTCCCCCCCACTTTTTTTTAAACAGTACTGGGATTTGAACTCAGGACCTGTGCTTGTTTAGACTGGTGCTCTACTACTTGAGCTATGACTCTAGTCCTGATTTTTTTTCTAGTTATTCTTAAGACAGAGTCTCACCTGCCAGGGTGCATACTCATATGCCTGAGCCCAATCTACTACTTTAGGCTTCACAACAGTTCAGACACACACTAACATATTCTCAAATCTCAAGTTTCCTGAGTAGCTAGGATTACAGGCGTGAGCTCCTTTCTGTGGAGCTCGGACCCTCATGGACTTTTCTGCCTGGGCTGGCCTGGATCTGCTATTCTCCCAATCTCAACTTGGGATAACAGGTGCACGCCTCTACAAACTACTGTGAGTTGAGAAAGAATCTCAGGAATTTTTCTGCCAGAGCTCTTGAACTGCAATCCTCCACTCTCAGTCTCCCAAGTAGTTAGGATTACAGGTGTTAATGTCACGATCCCACACCTGACTTCAGTTTTGACTTTTTTTTTTTTTTGCCAGTCCTGGGGCTTGAACTCAAGGCCTGGGCACTGTCCCTCCCTGAGCCTCTTTTGCTCAAGGCTAGCACTCTACCATTTGAACCACAGCGCCACTTATACCTTTTTCTGTGTATGTGGTACTGAGGAATCAAAC